TCGTTAAGCTGTGATTTGCGGGCACTAATCTCAGTAGTGAGCCGCACAGACGTAAGGCATGTTGTGAGTGGCAGCTTACCAAGGATGGTGGCGTAAGCACGTCGTACTAATGCTTCAGTTACATCGAGCATAATGGTCGCAACATCGCGGAAATAGTCCAAAACTTCTGCGTTTATTGACGCGTATTCAAGCACAATTTCAATGCATTTAGCACATTTTAGCGGCGATATAAAAGCCGCTTGGCTGATGGATTTACAAATATTTACAAAGCTGGTATGTTGCTCTAGCACAGCAGCGTTTTCGCGGCACTCTATGAGTATATAACTGACCCAGTCGAGTAAAAAATTCAAGTTGGTCACATTTAAAGCACCAGCAGCACATAAAATTTCAGCTAAAAATTGTAAAATCAAACTGAAATTTTCTGATGTTGGTGAATTATTTTCATCTAACGCGTGTTTCGATGCAAATAGCGGTTCAGTTAGTAGACGCGAGGTCGGTCGAAAGTTGTGGTTTTTCTGGCAATGCACTACTAGCACATTTAGCAAGGCGTTGTGTAGTGTGGGATAGTGTTGCCACATTTGGACGTCACCGGCTTTGCAATTAGTAATCAACAGCTCCAAAATCGAGGGATGCAGCGCATACATGCTGATAATCGACGAAGTTTGGGTGGCCAATACAGACAAAGCGGTTAAATAGAAATTTAGCGTCGACTCCGCTTGCAACACCTCACTGCAATTTCCAGTTACTGGATCGTCATGCGTTTTTAAGATCGCTATTGTTTTAAACATATCCGCAGTTATGTGGCGATAAGTCTCCTGCAGCAAGGGCACATTCTTTATCATTAAGATTTCATGGTATACTTTCAGGAACATACGCCGTAGCTTATCATTGTTTGTAAATTTAATAGTGGCAAGTGGATTGTGTGTTGTTTCGAACACCAAGGTGACTGCAGACAGAGGCAGTTTAGTGCGCAACTGCCGAAAAACGCAAAGTATCAAGTAAAGCAGACTGAGCTTGGGCGAGTCACTAAAGTAATGAAGTTGTTTCATTTGCAATGCTATTAAGTCCTCGATATTCACCAAATTCATTATATCATAGTTGTTGGAAAAGAGCAGACAGAAGAAGTCATTAATATTCATGATAGTATCCTCGGTAACTAAAGCCACCATTAGCGTTTGTTCCGCCGTCTTAAAAATTGTCATAGCTGCTTCATTTACAATATTTTGTCCTACGATGATACCGACAAATTCCATACGATTCGAAAGCGATTTTAGTATAGAGTTAAATGCACCGATAAAACAGCCTGTGCGCATTTCTACTTTGCTTTGGCTAGAATGTGCAGCTCCTTCGCCTGCAATGGGTGAAGCTCCTTGTGATATTTCATCCCCCAATGCAACAATATCCTCAAGAAATTGACCAAGCAAGCCAAATGTGAAATCTAATTCTTTTAGAAAGTACGGAGCAAACGTTTGCAGCGCCACTGAACATTGAAGCTTGAGATTAGCCGGTTGCTCGGCTTCCAAATGCCAGCCCACAATTATATCCACTATATCCGTGAAATGAGCTTCGAATGCACGTTTATAATTTTTTGAAAATTCCACAATCGCTTCACATACTGCTATAAAAGTGTTAGCAACTTCAGCATTCTCTAAGTAGTCCTTCAACACGATCAGTAGCCGCTCGCTGTAGACGCTGAGATCCAAATTTACAGCATCACAGCTATAGACGAAAAACAAGTTGTGTAGATAGATGCATATGTGTTGCATATGTGGGACTAGCCACCATAAAATATTTATATTACCTGAAGGTAGTCTTCAACGCTAGCATCATATATTTTCTAATCGATTTATATCCCTGGTAGGACTTCATAATGTAATTCTTATAAACTGGAAAATCGTTGCGATTTATGTAGCCCATTACCCCCATCACTGTGCTAGCCTTTGCTAGACAATCTTCCGGGCATTGCTTCAACACAGTTATCATGTTATCCATCAACAAATCGAATGTGCGACAAATATATGTTGCATTTGCTTGCGCACGCACAGCAATTTCCAACTTGTTGCAAAGTTCCAGCGCAGCAGCCGCGTTGTTTTCCGATTGCAGACGACGCAGCAATTTGGAAATTTTCATGTCTTCTCCATAGATGTGTGAAACAATGAGTGATGGCATCTTTCCTGTAGAAGACATCTCGCCCAATGGCAAATTATTATGTTGGGAATAAGTCCGCACGTTGTTGATCGAACCTTATCCCCAAGCGGGTGGATTGCAAAAAGAGGGAGGGAGGAAACGATGAAAATTCAGCACATGTACACAATTAAAACATATTCAATCAATTTAGTATTTACCTCCCAAACGCACATCCTGGATTCTACGATCATCACTCATCCGTTTAGAAGTATATTTTATTGTTAAAATAACAGATATTAATTGTTTTGCACAAATTTATTTCACGGAAAATTACACAAATGTGCAAGATAAAGCGACGGAAACAACAAATGCAATTTTGCGTAGTGTTGCCACAGTGAGTAGAAATAACAACAAGTCGTAGAAGAATTGTTTTTGAATTCCTTGGAAACTATTGGAAAATACACAAAAAAGGGAAAAAGACTTTCTCTTATGAAGCTTTAGTTGAGCTTAAGAGGAAATAAATTTATTGAAAGCGTATACAAATGAAATATTATTAATTTAAAATACCACGAACGGGCGAGTCCCAACACTGATTTCATCAACTGATCGATAGAGTTTCCGTCTGCTTTTAAGAAAATAAGTTTAATTTGGGTATTTTTGTTTAAAAAAAAAGCTTTTGAAATGAAACTTGTTATTATTAAATGTTGAAACAAAATTTGGAATACAAAGTTTAGTATGACCAATTGCATAGATTTGTATATGTATTTCTATTTATATTTCAGATGTAATGTCTTATTTAAGAAAAATGGTTTTATCTTGTCAAAAAATTATAAGAAGAGGAAGAATTTTGAACATTCAAATTTCTCTCGAAATATCTTTATTGCAGATTTTTTTATTAAAATTTTATTTGTTATACAAAACCATAACACATTTTATAAAAAAAAATTAAATAATACATTTTATAAAGAATACCACTTAAGATGATGGTTTGCAGTCGAGAAAAGAGTTGCCATTATTTCGTGGATGTGGCCAAGGAATTTTGACATCTGATATTTCACAGCCTGTTGCCTCACTCTCATATATATATTTCTGTTGAAAACATGGGTTGCCTTGTGCTCTTTTTTCACAAAAACTTTAGAAAACTTCATACTGCCCTGAGGAAATTTGACACAAGAAAATTTCTTAGTCACTTCTTGTACGTAATTTTGTATGGAGTTTTTGCTTTTCTTGAGAGCTGGATACTAGGTAAGCTTTATTACGAATTTTGGTTTTGTTCAAATTTATTTGAGAAAAAACTGTCTCCAGATCTATGCATTCATCCTCGCTATTGGATGATCATGTTGATGTTTCTATAAAGTTAGTTATAGAAAATTTAATTTGTTATTCTAAATTTAGAAACTAAAATTAATTACCTCTTTACTTTAACAAATATCTATCCATAATTTGTATCTTGTGGAAATTCATAACGTCGAGTTTGAGCTGCACAAAGCCGAGTTTGAGCGCGAATTTTGACAGGAAAAATCAAGTAAAAAACATATTCATAAAAATCAGTATCCTCCAGGGTAAATTGATGACAAAACCCGAAAATTTTGTTGTCACTTACCAATGCCAACCACCAAAAACCTCAAAGTATACAGCCTGCTCAGTTCGACGTTTCATTTTTCCCTGTCCATAATTGACAACAGAATTCTAGCTGTCCTATTTTCACATGTGCAGCAGAAAGTTGATGACAAAATCTAAAAACTTGTTGCCAACTATCCAAAAAAAAATAGATCTTCAAGTGCTACCAGATATCTTCACTGTGTCGAATTTTTATATGGAGGTTTATTTAGTTGTGTTTATCTTCATGATTTTTCTGATTTATCAAGGCGCTTGTGTGTTGAATTTCGCTGTTAATTTTTTGATTTTCTGGGCGCCATGTTGACGTGAAGACGTAAGAGAGAAAAATGGAAGAAACCTACCAAAATTTTTTACATTGTGAACTGGAAGAAAAGTAAAATTTTTTGCTTGAACGAGTCATGTTTGCCTACTGAATGGCGTAATGGGAAAAGTAGGTTTGAAGTATGTTTTGACAAGCCGCTTGTGTGGTGTATTTCACTCTTTAAACCAGCAAATCTCGCATACAATCTATCAAAGGCACAAACCACAGGGTGAAATGTAGAGGAAGTCGATTGAAAATTGTTACGCTTAGCGCGGCCAAATTGAAATACAAATTGAATTTTGTTAAAATAGTAGCTACTAAATATGTATGAATTTATAATATACATACATACATAAATCTGTAATCTCAAGTAAATTTCTTTTCTTTTAATTTATTAGCATATGCAAACGTATGAATTCATTCATATATTTAATTAGATAAGCATACATACACACAATAAATTGCAGACACAGGAAGCCATAAACCCCGAAGTAATCTATTGGTCAAAATAAGGCGAGGGGAAAATAAAATAAAAAACAATACTGACCGTTTTGCGCACATCATCAATAAAGAAATGATAATTTCCCTTTTTGTTTTATCAGCCGCATAGAAATGTATAACTGTATTGAAGATGAAAGCAGTTTATCACCCACCAAATGCGTAAATCATTACGGAGGATACACATATCAATTAAACTACCACATGAGGCTTTTCTATAATTTTAATTAAGTTTTAGTATGAGGCGCAGCAAAACGGCAAATATGTATATGTACCTATGTATATACAATGTACATATTTGGTCGTTAAAGAAATTAAAATTAACTGTAGTAGTGTGATAAGAACAGTGAAAGATAACTTCGACTGACAATGACTTTTTAAGCGCCACCTTTCCGGTCGCTATATAAGCTTCTTCATCCTATATAGTGCGCTCAGTTTTTTGTAGATATAAAAACCGTGTGAATACAAGACAATTAGGTGCCAGAACAGCAAATACAAGTAGAATGAAAAGCCGCGTTGCTTTGATTGGACCTTTGGTCACCACGCTTCTTTTGTTGGGCGCCACTGCCAACGAAATCCGTCAGCCGCATTTGAAGAATGGAAAAAATGTGCTTTTGCAAATAGTTACGCCCGAAGAAATGAATAAAATACTTAACGAAAATCCGGACGCTATAGAGATGACTGCAACAAGGACTCGGGTTGAAGGTCGTGAAATGCAATCACAAGGCAAAGCTCAAATCACTTATACTTTGGGTACCGCAAGAGCTCCAGGTGGGTGTGTGTGTGTTTGTTTGTCAAAATGCATAAATGAATTGAATAGGAATATGTATGTATTTCGTGATTGCCAGGTGATCGCCTCGTATCGAGTGACTCGAGCACAAATGACTTCAATGTTCCTACTACCTTGACTGCCAAAACGCGTTATCCTAGCAGTGGTACGGGTGCAGTTGTTACATATGTTCAAATCAATGTGTACCAAAGTAATGATAACGGACGTGCTTATGTGACATCTGGTGGCATTGGTTCGACACACATTGCGGTGGCAGTGGAAGCGGTGAAAACTTATTACTTTGATTTTTATTCATATATTTATGGGAAATAAATTAAGAGCATGCAAATGACAGGGCAAAGAAATGCATGGAAATTAGGAGTGCCCCATGATATTTTTATTTTTAAGGACCTAAAGCGTATATGGCTTGAAACTCACCCTTTAAGCTTTAGAATGTTCACAAAAAAAAAATACATAACCAATAAATATCGTCGTTTTTCAACCTCACTTTTTCCAGTTTTTTTCATAAATTCAAAGCGGTACATATCATTTTAAAACTTAGTATTTATTGCAGTGGCTGTCGCAGGACTACTTATACATGTTTTTCTTTAATTATTTACAATACACTAATTACATTAAATGTACATATTTAAAGGTTTTTACTTATATTCATATATTATACACACATATGTACATATATTTACATATGTATGTATGCCATTAGACCGTACCACCTTATATCGTAAAGTATTTTTGCAAGGCAATTTCGAAAAAAAAAACTTTTTTTTTGCAATATGTTTTTTTTTTTTAAGTTCTGCTGGAATTATCAAAATACTTCCTTAGCAAATGTTCAACGATTTTTGGTGAGCTTCAATTTAATTACATTAGGGTGGCACGTTAGGGTGATAAGTACTAAAAACGGGGTAAGTACTAGAACAAGGTTCTTGGGGCCAATGAACTTTGAAACAAAAAAAATGTGTACTCGAGACAAAAACATCGGTATAACATATTTTAAGATCTTACTGAAAATGCTGAAAATGCAACGAAAAATTTAAAACAAAAATTGGAAAAGCCGGAAATTCGCATAAGAATTTGGATTCCAATTTTCCTTGCAACAATACTTTAGACTCAGGGGTAAAAGGCAAACTTTTTTCTAATACGGTCTAATTTACATATTTATGACTATAGTAAATAGATTAAATTTACATATGGCTATAATTTCAAATTTACAGTCTGACATGGTATTACATATATACACAGATATTGTATATATGGCCTGGAATATTTACTTATACTACATATGTACATACATATTTAGTTTCATATTGTGATTTCAAGCTAATCATTTGCTTAAAATTAACGAAACACTTGACAGGGGCGGGCAACTCAATAAAATTTTTACATTTTCATGCTTGCATTTTCATTTCTAAATATCAATGTATGTATGTATGTTGTACTATGTCAAAAAAAATAAATTAAAATCCCGCAATACGACCCCAATCTCACTCAGATTTTAGTACATATTTGGTACAGTAATGATCCTCCATGAATCGCCCTTGTCTACGATAATTCTAAGAGGTCGCGCATCGAGCGTTTATTTTTCCCATAGGAATAACACGTAAGGAAAATAGTTATGCTCTTTTGAGGTCAGTATAATTTTCTAGGATCACTCAAAACGTGCGGAACTGTAGGAATATATGAAATTAAAGTGGTATACAGGCTCAGATTACTTACATGCCATTTTTTTTTTGTGTGTAATTATTAGATTTGACCAAAACAGTGCATGCGATTGAAAGAGAATAATTTCGAAATTTAAAGCATGTACTCAATGTATTCTTATAGTTTCGAGCCTTTTTTGTAAATCCTAGAAAATTATATTGATCTCGAAAGAGAATAACTCATTTTCATTTCCTATGGGAGTCAGATTGCGGTCACATTGCAGGACTTTTTTTTGACGGACGTGGTTTAATGTACATATAGACAAGTATGTGTGTGAAAGTATATGTATGTAAGCACTTGTAGATGTTTTAGACTAGTGCTCAAACTCAAACTATAAACAAATTTTTAAATTTCTAAAATCCATTTAAAACGAGGACCGTAACGGAAATGATGCTAAAATTGGACTTTTATTTTTCCAATTAAAATTCACCGTTATTTTTTGATATTTATTTTTCGGTCATAAAATATTTAAATCGGTCATAAAAACGAAGTCTCCATTATAACAGTTAAAAATAATTGACAAAAATTAAAATCCAAAATAACGATCACAAAAAAAAGTTTACTTTGGCCGAAAAATTATAAACGCAAATTTAACGATTATTCTTGCTTAAAAACATAAACATAAAAAACGATTTTTCATTGATATAAAAATAAAAATCTTAATATTTAACGGTAATTTTCGGTTTTTGATATTAAAAATGTTTTAGTAATTTCCTAAGTAGAACAAAATCCTTTGACAAATTGGTAACACACACTTTCAACAAACACGGCTTGAAGCATTAACACACACATACTATTTATACACACACACACAAGTGCCTTAAACATTAAATAATGTACATACATACATACATACATATGTACAAAAGTATGTGTGATCATTGAATGAGACCTGAAATATTAAGCGCCGCTTTGATGCCACATCCTCATCCTCATATCCTCATCCTCCCGCCCACTACACCCTAGCCTTGACAAATATCCACGCCGACATTGAGATCTTTTGCTATTTGTAGTTTGTTGAAAAATCACAGTTAAATTGACCAGCCGTCGCCGCCGCCGCCGCAGCGCTTGGCATTTGCGTCGGTAGATAAGGCTTATAATTACAGCTTACCGCTGCTGTTGGCGCAGACTTTTGTCGCAATGGTGGTTTATAACCGTCCGTCCGTTCGTCATCCTCATCCTCACTATTGGAGAAACTCTCTGGCGCCGACCAACGACGTTTGCGTGCGGACGCTGCTGCCGCCGCCGCCGCCACCGCCGCCGACGACTGTTCGCGCTCATCTTGCCTTGTGTTAGCCGATTGAGGCGGTGCTGATGGCGTTGTTGCCGACGTCGCGTCACTGTGTTGCGCGCGCGCCCCAGCATGCAAGGTGGGTGCCGGTTGTGTGTGTGGCGCGTGAAAGGTAAAGCGCGCATATCCGTCCGCAGGCGCATATCCCGGATGTGGCGGTGCATTGGTTAAAAGATGTGGTGGCATAAAATGCATTGTGCCTAGGGGGCTGCGTAGCATGGGTGACGGATATTGTGCGGTGGGTGGACATACGTTGGCGCCTTTCAAATGCGTAGCATAAATATTGTCGCTGAGTATGAGTGG